TGTTCTATAATATTACCTTAAATGATGCAAGGAAATATTTCTGGAGTTGCAACATGAATGACTGAAATAAATCTGTATATACATTTTATATATTGTATTGCATATAGATTATCATTAGTATGTGAATCTGCTAAAAAACAGATAGAATTTTGTATTTATGCCAAATTAGTCTTAAAAAAAATATATACTTTTTTTAGTAATTCAAGTAAATGAATTCAAACTTTATTTATATATCAAGAAAAACTTAACAAACTCTTATTAAAAATTCTAAAAATTTTTGATATTTGTTGATTTTCTTTATATAAAGCAATAAATAATATTTGTTCTTCTATTAAATTTTTATTCAATACATTTCTTATACTATAAGTGATCTAAAAAATCAAAATATCCAAAATTTAATTTTTGATTTATATTCAGATCTTTGTAACTAACAACTATAGTTTTTTTTATTTTCTTCAAAATATTTTTACTAAACTTGCAATAGTATCTAAATTTTTCTAAACCTGATTTCTTTATTTTTATAATATATTGTATATTCTATAATTTAAACTACTATTATAAAATTAGAAAAAACTTATTTAGATATTGATAATAATTATTTTGAATTAAGTACTAATCTAAACAAATTTTTTATTTCTACTCTCTTTAAAAAAGATACAAAAATTGGTTCACATATGCTTATATGGACATTAAATCAAAAAAATAATTTAATAGTAGATATAGTAAGTTTTACATCTAAATTAATTTTAGTGATTTAAAAACAATTTTCAAATAATTCTTTTATTAATGCTATGAAATATTTAAATTATCAGATAGGTTATTAAATAATCAAAACACATTAGAATTTGGTAATAAAGAATTAGTGATTTTACTTAATTTTTATGAAAAACCTCAATATTCTTCATTTCCCCTAGCAATAGTTAATTCTAATGATACATGTATAGAATAGTTTTATTTTAAAAAAATGATTTATGAAAATTACTTAAATTTATCAATAGATGAATTGCTTCTTTTATTATTTCAACACCATATTGACTTATCTGAATATTTGTAAATTATTAACAATAGTATATTCTATTTCTTTCTCTAGTGTAAACTGTAAATGTGATTTTTCTAAACAAATTTTAATTAAAACTAGATTGCATAATGGTTTAAATAATAATACATTACATATGTTAATGATGGTTGGATTAGAAAAAACTGATGTAACAGAATTTAATTTTAATAATGCATTAAGGATTTGGTATTAAACTAAAAAAAGAAAATAAAATAAATAAAATAAAAATAGAGATTAGTTATATGAGTGCTGCAGAGCAAAATCCTGTAACTAATCATAGTAAATCATTATGATCAGTTACAGGTTTTCGCTCTGCAGCACTCATATAAATTATTAGAAGCAAATTACTAATAAGTTAAAAAATTAATAACTACTATAAAGTACATATCAACAAGACATATTATCTCACCATTAAAGAATTAGAGAATTTAACTGTTTTAAGCTTGTAGTTTGTCTTGATTAAGATTATCTGCAATATTTATTACTGTTGGTTTTTGATTATATAAAATGATATTGCAATGGTTTATTCGATTGAAGTTATTTCAGTATGAGTTTTTGATCCTTGATTTTCATCATGCTTGCTAATAGAATCTGCTTCACAGTTTTCACACAGATCAGACAAAATAAATGTAATTATTACACTAATATCTATACTATGAATAGCTTTTTCACAAGCAATATGTTTGATTCCGGGGTGAAATACAGAATATAGAGGGTTGATTTCAGGCTTACTGGCACTATGAATTTGTGACCCGTTGGTGCAATTATTACATAAAACAAAATCTGGATAATCGATGTATCTATAGCGAACGTCAGCAATTAATAACAATATAAGCTAATAAGTATTCATGTGTTGATATGGATGCTTGTAAGTTAAATTATATAAACTTAAAGGAATCATAATTTTCGTCAAGTGGTGGTTAAAGATAAGCAAGACGTATTTTTTTTATTATATCAACATAAATATATATATATATTATTATATATATTTAAATATATATATATTTTTTATTGATGCAGTAATTATATTATACGCATTCGATTGTTTCTTGAGCCAATAAAATTTTAATAAAACATAAATCAAGAACGACACTTATTAAATGTCCGGCAT